CCCCAAAACCCCAAAACCCCAAAACCCCAAAATACCTAGCCCTAATGCCTGCTCTAAGTCACCTAAAAATTAAGTAATCCCCTCTACTCTAAATCTGAAGTACCGGGCTTTTGTAGCCAGGATGGACATTCCCAGTACTGAGCTTTAAGCGGCCTCGTGAGAAGTCCAGGCTAATGCCTCGGACTGAGAGTCATAGGAAAGCCTCTTACTACAGGCTAGTGCGAGATTCCATCTGGGTGCTGAGATTGATAAATAGGAAGTTTTGGAGACTGAACTCGTAGAGAGTCAGTGCTGATAGAAATAACTTGGTTTGTACCACCAAGTTCTTAAGGAAGCATTATACTATTCTAGCCTCTGGATTCGTAGCTTGTTCATATCTGAGAGTTTTGGATGGGGTAAAATGGGATGAAACAACGTGTAAGCTCATTTTGAGCAACACTGGATATATGGCTCAAGGTGTCTTTCTGTATACAAAGTTTCACCGATGAGATTTTCTCAGAAATTTTGAAGCAATATTGATATATATGCGATATTTAAGCTTCATCAAAAGCATACAGAAGCAAGCCTGAAAGTTCAATGTAACAATCAGATCTTAGGATTGTAAAAGTAGTCTTAGATCAATATGGCTGACGTAGGAGACCTCTTAGTCTTCTCTCTTTGTGAACTCATTTATTTCTGAATCACAGAACTCTGAAGAGGAAAGTAAGAATAACTCTGAATCTATAGATGAGGATTTGTTAATATTATTCCGCTCTTAATCTCAATAACAATGGTGATAAACCTTGTTAGTCTCTGTTTTTCAAATATGATAAAATTCATATGTTGCTTTTCAGTAGTCCGTAAGTAAACTGGTCCTAAAGTGTTTTTGATTCTGGAAAGAACATTCCAGTCAATGTTGTCTCCACTCCACAAGCACTAAGTCTGCTACTACCGATGGGAAAGTGGCTAATACCTTGTTATCTCCAGTTGATGAAAACCCTGCTCAGGGTGAATAATACTGCCATTATAGCAGCCACCAATCGATGTGTTTGAATCATGACTTGGATCAGTTATTCCTCATCATGGGGATGTATCAGCCAAGAAGGGAAGACTCTTGGATATACATGCTATTTTTTCATCTTGGTGTAAGCTAATTCTAAAATATAGGTGCATGATCTTCATAAATATCTGTTATAGTTATGAAAGTTTCCTTGATTTTTTGAATCTCAGCTGTAATTCATATTCCCACGAAAGAAGCCAATTCTTTGGGAGATATATAATTTCTGTATATTTTAATAAACCCATAGCTATTGGAGGTTCTTTATTTGTTCATAAACGCTAGATATTCTCATTTCAGTTAGGTGTGCTAATTTCTAATGCTTAAAATAATACAGGGGTTTTGGGGTTTTGGGGTTTTGGGG